TAAAATGGACATAAGACTGCTGACCTTGAGGGACTGAGGGTTGTATGGGAGAACATGTGTCCAGCACTAGCACATAGTGAGGTCTGGCTCTGACTGTCAATGTCAGCGCTTTCCAGATGAACATCCAGGCCTGGCACAGAACAGGGGCCCAGGGAGGGGTGTCCGCTGTGCAGGGCTGAGCAAGGACTATCCGGGACACCCTGAGAGTGTCCCCCAGCAGTTATCTGCTAGGTCTCGTTTACAATCCTGCTCCTTTTACATCAGCTGCCCCTCCCATTGCCTCAGTCCCATTTCTATAGTGACCCAGTGATGACCACTTTGCATGCATGCATAGCTCTTCACAGTTTGGATTGCACTTCAGTGAGAGCCAATCAACTTATGTGAGGAGGGCAGGAGAAGAATTACTGCTTTGTGGTTCCCAGGACCGGGCTGAGGGTGGTGAGAGGCCCCCTCTCTGGAGGGGTAGCGGTTGGGCTGTGTTTGGGCTCCCGGTTACATAAGCAGGAGCTCACGAGAGGCCATTTGGCATTTAATAGGCACCTTATATGGGAACCCAAAGGGTAATCTCAGGGTATTTTTTTGTACCTGTGTTGTTTGTTCAAACCCCAGGAAGAGTGGATATGAGCAGATCAACTTAGCAGGGAAGGTGGGGCCCCGAGTGGTAATGAACCCCTGTGGTAAAGCTCACACAGGAGAACAAAAGGTGCCTGAAGCAAGTTAATTCTTTTCCTTTTGGTTCCAGACATTGGAGCACTCTATCCTCCCTCAGTTGAGACCAAGCCCAGGATGCACCTGGGCTGGGTTTAATCCTCAAATTGGACTCTATAATATAAAGGGGTGGGGAAGGAGGGGCCCCCCTGGGGAGCAAGGGAGGAGAGCCGCACTTTGTCCTGCCCCCATGCAGAGCCAGTGGGGATCAAGTAGCTACCCCTTTAAAGTTTCATGGAGGGCTGGTAATACTATCGTGCTGCTCCCTCCCCACCCACCCCAGTCTAGAAGGTGGGCAGGTCCCTGGTCCATCCCTCCCTGAAGGCCAGTGGGAGAGATGGTGGCGGTAAGACAGAGCAGGGGGGCAGAGTAGGGCTACCCCAGATGAGACCTACTGGAGTGAGGCTTCGTGCCTTCCGTCTCCCAGGCTGAGTGGTTGCTGTGTGGTGGGATGGGATAACCACAGACTGTCCAGTTAGACGCCTTCACTGCTCGGCCCTCTTCCTCATTCTCCTGTGAGCACCACCACTGAGCTGCAGTGGGCATACACATAGGCTTTGGCAGACAGATGTGCGTGGGTGTGAGGATTGAATGTAAGAGTGTACATGTAGTGCCTGGCACCGGTGGCAGCCGCGCGCTAATTGTACAGGGACGGAAACAAGCCAGGAGAGGGACATGGCTTGCATCATAACATGTGGCTTGTATCATAACATGTGTCTGGGGAAAGCCCCTCTTGGATCTTGTCTCTCCCTGACAGTCCTGCCAGAGGCAGCAGATGAAAATAGAGGAATTGGAACTGAGCAGACCTGGGTTCTAATCCTGCCCTACTTTTTACTAGTTCGGGGTAAACCCTTTTCCTGTCTGAGCCTCTATTCCTTCATCTGTATAATGGGGGAACCAGCCCAGCTGCCTAGGTTAAAGGAAGAGCCAAAGAGGGGTAATAGCTGTGTCAGCTGGGGGTAGGGGCTTGGGACGGGTATCCCCAGAGCCCGTCTGGAAGTCTTTACAATTGAATTTGTTATATAGATAGTCCGGTAGACATGAGCAGAGCAAGGACGATGGGCCACGTACAGAAACTCACCAGGGCAGAATTTGTCTAACGATGAGACCTCTGTTCTTGTCTTCTTGAAGGAAAGATTTCAATCCAGAGACAAAGTATAGCAAAGTGAGTGAGAGTTTATTGGCTGCAGTAAAAATATATTTAGGACAGTGAAACAAAAAGGGGCATAGGAGAAGCAACAGGAGAGTCTAGGCTGGGCTGCTTTGGCTCACTGGGAAGTCAGAGAAAAAAGGGGCTTGGAGACAGGTTCAGGGGGTTAGTCCAGGACGAGCCACTGCCGCCCACTGCTCCCCTGATTGCAAGTCTCATGGGGTCCCTTAGTGGAAAGAAGGGGGAAGGAAAGGGCGTGGGCATGCTCCCCTGGGGGGCAGTGGCGTACCGGGGTTCTTCATTCCGAATGTGTTTATTCCTCTCTTGCAGGTGGAAATCTTAGGGGAGGTCTCAGGGGAAGGTCTCAAAAGAATATTCATCAGCTTTCCAGGTGTGCTCTTTCAGGGTCATGGTCTCCACTGATTGGTGGGTGTCAAGGCAGGGGGTCACTAGTCAATGTAGCTGGTCCTGAGGCAGCCACAGTGTCACTTGTCTAGTTTTGCTGCTTTTCTGGGCCTGGAGCTGAAATACAACTGAGGCCTAGATGTTATCATAGGGAGGAAAAGGTCAGGGGGTCCAAACCACAGGGCCAGCAATATGCTAGGGGAGGAAGGTTACCCTGGGGACGAAGTTCTTGTCTTTCTAGTTTTGCCCCTTGCTAGGCATCCGGGGCTTTCTGCCCTGGTGAGCTCCTGTATCTGGCTCAGTGTCTTTGCTCTGCTCTTGTTGCCTAACTATCTATATAACAGAATGAAGGCTCCTGCCTCTGGAGGATAGGCCAGGCGAGGGGGCTTAGGACTGTAGACTCATCCATCGTCACCCACAAAAGAGGTGAGGTGGGGCCAGTCCCTGCAGGGAGAGGCTCCCATCTGGGAGGCTGGTGTGTGGGTCTTGGGCATGGCTCAGCCACTGCCAAACCATGACAGTGAGCCATGCTTCCTCTGCTCCATCTAGTTCCCCTCCCAGTCACTTGTGGCCATGCGTGACTTTCTGAACCCTCTCTAAGTCTCAATTCCCTCTTCATGAAGCGATGACAATTTTTGTGATTTTGAGGGTCAAGCCAGTCTGTGTGGCAGCTGGCACAGCACTGGGCACATGCTCAGCACAGGTGAATGGAACACCCTGACCCCAACCCCTGAGCTGTGAGCCCCTCCCTATAGGGCCTGGATTGAGACCAGCCCAGGGCCCTGGAACGTCCGAGCTCTGGAGGCCAGCTAAAGAGCCACCTAGTCCAGTGGGTTTCCAGCTGGGTACCTTAACCTTCTACGGCAGAGATGGTGAGCAGGCATGGAGAGCTCTAGGCCCCAAACCTCACTTCAGCCAGAACAGGCCCACGTTCATCTGATAATGTTTAAGAAGGAGTTCTGCTGCTTGCAGTTTAAAATCCACCAATCTGGTCCAGCCTGCGTGGCTTAGTGGTTGAGCGTCGACCTAGGAACCAGGAGGTCAGGGTTTGATTCCTGGTCAGGGCACATGCCCAGGTTTCAGGCTCCATCCGCAGTAGGGGGCGTGCAGGAGGCAGCCAATCAATGATTCTCTCTCATCATTGATGTTTCTATCTCTCCCTCTCCCTTCCTCTCTGAAATCAATAAAAATATATATATTTTTAAAAATCCACGAATCTGGCCTGACCCTCTTTACCATACAGATGGGGAGAGCGAGGCCTGAGAAGAACAGGGACAAGGAATTATAGGAGGAGTATTCAGGGAAAGAATCCTGGGAGGACAGGGCGCTGGTGGTAACTTTCAGCTGTGCCTAGACACTTTGGCTGGTATCTTATGGGGCGGGGTTAGTACCATCTGGTATGGGGTGCCTGCTGTCAACCCTCACCTATGGCTCTCTTTCTAGCGCCGACCATGCTGTGGCCCCCACTGCTGCCCCTGCTGCTGTTGCTGGCCGTGAGCTGGGTCCAGACGACCCGGCCATGCTTCCCCGGGTGCCAGTGTGAGGTGGAGACCTTCGGCCTCTTCGACAGCTTCAGCCTGACACGAGTGGATTGCAGTGGCCTTGGCCCCCACATCGTGCCTGTGCCCATCCCTCTGGACACAGCCCACCTGGACCTGTCCTCCAACCGGCTGGAGACTGTGAACGAGTCGGTGTTGGCAGGGCCAGGCTATACCACGCTGGCCGGCCTGGATCTCAGCCATAACCTGCTCACCAGCATCTCGCCCACCGCCTTCTCCCGCCTTCGCTATCTGGAGTCGCTTGACCTCAGCCATAATGGCCTGGCAGCCCTGCCTGCAGACAGCTTCACCAGCTCGCCCCTGAGTGAGGTGAACCTCAGCTACAACCGGCTCCGTGAGGTCCCAGTGTCCGCCTTCACCACCCACGGCCAGGGCCGAGCGCTGCACGTGGACCTCTCCCACAACCACATCCACCGCCTCGTGCCCCACCCCGCTGGGGCCAGCCTGCCCACGCCGACCATCCAGAGCCTGAACCTGGCCTGGAACCGGCTCCGCACTGTGCCCAACCTCCGGGACTTGCCCCTGCGCTACCTGAGCCTGGATGGGAACCCGCTGGCCACCATCGGCCCAGGTGCCTTCACAGGACTGGCTGGCCTGACACACCTGTCGCTGGGCAGCCTGCAGGGTCTCCCCCAACTGGCACCCTATGGTTTTCATGAGCTGCACAGCCTGCAGGTCCTAGACCTGTCAGGCAACCCCAAGCTCAAGTGGGCAGGAGCGGAGGTATTCTCAGGCCTGGGCTCCCTGCAGGAGCTGGACCTGTCGGGCACAAGCCTGGTGCCCCCACCTGAGACGCTGCTCCTCCACCTCCCAGCACTGCAGAGCGTCAGTGTGGGCCAGGGCATGAAGTGCCGGCGCCTGGTACGGGAGGGTGCCTACCCCCGGCAGCCTGGCTCCAGCTCCAAGGTGGCTCTGCAATGCATAGACACTGGGGAACCGGCTTCCAGGGCTTCCAGGGGCCTCAGCATCTTGTGACAAATGGTGTGGCCCCGGGCCACACGACAGACTGCTGCCCGGGCTGACTCGGGTCCTGGGTAATTTATATTTGAATGTGCCAATGCCAGTGGGGACTCTGCAAGCCTGTATGGCAGCAGCATCGAAAGACAGCTGTGGACTGAGACGAGGCTTTGGACCTGGGACAACACCCAGGAGGAAAGCCTTGCCCTTTGTCTGTATTGCCCCCACACCATAAGCAGGGGGTCTTTGATGCCAAACTACACAGCTGCCCGCTGCTGTCCTTCCCCACTCGACCCCCAAGTGCCTTCCCTCAGGCCTGGGCCAACCTGACTATGAGGAAGGTCAGAGGTCAGGTCCATGGCTGAGTGCCCCCTTGGGCCCATGGTCCAGCCACTCAGGGGCATGGGTTTCTTTTGCTTCGGGCACATGGGGCCCACTTTATCCTTTTCTGTTCCCCTGGAGCCCTGGGTAGAACTTTAGTTACAGAAAGGACTGGGGGGTGCCCACCTCCTCCTGTGGCAGATGGGAGAACTGAGGCCCAGAGAGGAAAATTGGTAATCTGAGGTACTGCCGCGGCAGAGGCATGACTGCCTCCCAGCCAGGCCCCTTTGCACTTTGCTGTCTTCTCTAAATCATGGCCTCCCTCTCCCCTTTCTGGGCTCCCCTTTGCTGCCAAGACCCACATCCTACCATTGGCACCCATTTCCTGTCATCCCGGGGAGGTAGGACTCTGGCCCACTGACCAGCTGCGATGCCCGGGCTGTCACTTCACCTCTCAGAGCTTCTGGAAGCGTCAGGCATGCCAGTCCCAGCCCTGCCAGTTTCCCACTCGGGCGGGGTCCCCCAGCATCAAGACTGGAAACGTACCCATTGATCCTTCAGGCCCTGTTCCTAGATGCTCCCCCAAGATGTTGATGCAGTCCTGGAGTCCCCCCCAACCCCCCTGCCACAAGCCAGGACAGGCCTCCCAGATTCAGCCCCCACTGGCCCAGAGCCCACAGCCCACCTCCCCTACTGTGAGTGCAGCAGAAGGAGGCAGGCAGTCCCCACCCAGTATTATGTTCCCCCACCAGGGTGGCATCTCAGCCTCCCAGCCCTGGCTCTTTCCTTAGGCTCGTTTTATAGATGTTGTCTTTTTTATGGACTGTCACCTTTAACCCGTTCCCCACCCCCACCCCTGCTGGCAGGGGATGCAAAGTGTCATTTGTAAAAGAAAAAGAGTTGCATTTGTTCACTTTCCTAAGAGTGTGTCCTGGGGGTATGTTGGGGAAGGAGGTGTTGGGTGGAAGCCAGCCATCCGTGGCCATGTGGGCAACAGGGGGCTGGTCCCACAAAGACACCGCAGGACAGTGAGAGCTCTGTCCCCCACCGGCCCCACCTGGCACCTAACTAGTCCTTGGTTCAATAAACGTTAGAAAGAGTCCCTCTTTCCATCACTTGACCAGTGTCCACTCATATTGCCTGGGCTGGGCCCTGGGGCCACAAGGATGAATCAGCACCAGCTTTGCCCTGGGGAGTGTGTTCTTCCTGAAAAGCCCAATAGGGGAGAGAGGTGACATGGGGGGATTACTCGGGGGGAAGGGGGGGTGCACCAACAGCTTGCACCCACCTTCCTTATCTCCCCTCTCCCATGAACTCACACGCCTCTGCCTTTGCTCAGACGGTTACTCTGGGACCTTGCCCTGGCCCTCCTCTCTACCTCTCAACTCCTCCCCATGCTAATAGACCCAGTTCCTATCTCACCTCCTTCAGAAGTTTTCCCTGAGGTCCCTCCTCTGAGCTCCAACAGTACTTTGTTCCTTCCTGTCATTTCACTGCTGTGCTAACTCCTCTGTGCACTTCCAGTGACAGGGGAGCTCATTTCCAGCTCATCTGAGTGGCTCTACTGTCAGCAAATTCTTCCTTCTAATTGGCCAAGGTCTGCAGGAATATCCATCACCATCATCCCCAACAACCACAGGTCACCCCATCTCTGCCCTAAGGAGTCTCACATTCTCTGGTTCCCTGGGATGGGAGGGGGTACAAGGACACAGAAGACATCTAACTAAACAGCACAGGGAACTGTGAGCCCTGTGGACAGGTCAGGAAGGCTTCCTGGAGGAGGCTCATCCACACTGAGTAGGACAAGTGGGCCTGGAAAGAAGGGGCTGGCACTTGGGAGGGGTTATAGGTGAGCAATGCTCAGAACCTAGAACATGCAAGTCACAGGTATGGGTGGGGAGCTTGCCCATCTTGTCACTCAACCCCCCCCCCCCCCCCCCCCCCACACACACACACACAGGAACCCAAGGCTGGCACCATGGTCAATATGAAAGGGCTGAGGCATGAGAAGGGGGTGTTGTGGGAGTAAGACCCCGGCCCTTAGAGTCCTCCGATTGGTTCTCCACCCCTTCTGCATTCCCTGGATTAGAGAGATTTCAAATGCAGGGTCCGGGAAAGATCTCTGGGACTTTCACCCAATGGGTCTGGGCCCTCCCAAAGCCCTGCTTGAGGAAGGAGCACTTGAGAGAGGGACATGGAACACAGGGGTTTTAGAGATAGGGACAAAGGGGTGCTGAAGGCAGGGGTGGGGGTGGGGCTCCTGCAGGAGAAGAGGAGCTCTGAGGCAGGTCATCTCCGCCCTGAGACAGCTGTAGTGGGAGGGTGCAGATGCCACCACATGGTGCAGGGCCCTCCTTCCTGTGGGGTCATTATCCTGTACCCCCAGCCCTGGCCTCCAGGAGGGCAGAAGCCCCACAGGCGTCTCTGAGGCCCCTCCAGAGGCTCCCGGCCCGCAACGCCACCTTGTGGTTGTGCGTGGCCAGACAGCCCAGGTCCGTGGGGGTCGTGGGAGCAAGGCCAAAGTGGGCCTGTGCAGTTTGTGCAGCCTGCCTCACCTTCCCCTAGCCTAGCTAGACTGCTTTCATCCTGCCTATCTGCCCTCCTGGAATCCTGGGGTTAAGAATGGGGTCATTCAGGATGGAGGGACCTGGAGAGTATTATTATGCTAAGTGAAATGAACCAGTCAGAGAAAGAGAAGTATCGCATTATCTCGTATGTGGAATCTAATGAACAAAATAAACTGACGAATGGAGTGGATCCAGAGACATGGGAGCATGGAATCTCAGAGGGGAGGGTGGGTGGGTGGGAAGTGATCAACCAAAGAAAATGCATATATGCATAACCCATGGACACAGACAATAGGGTGGTGAAGGCCTGGGGTGGGGGTGGGGGCGGGCTAGAAGGGGTCAATGGGGTAAATAAGGGGACATATGTAATACTTTCAACAATAAAGATTTTAAAAATAAAGTTATAAATAAAAGAATGGGGTCATTAAAATCTTACAGAATTATAGAGATAAGTGCAAAGCTTCCACTGGCGTTCACAGAAAAGAGTAACATCCTGGGTCCATCCAAACCAGTTGTGTGGCTTTGACCAAGTCACTTTACCTGGACGGGCCTGGAAAGTGGGGATGAAAATGTCTTCGAAGGATTGTATGGAGAGTAAATCAAGTAACATTTGTAAAGAACTGAGCTCAATGCGTGGCACAAAGCAGATACTCCCTAAGTTCTTGTTCTGGAACTCCCTCATTCAATCATAGGGTCATGAATTAGATTACAGAACCGTGTAGTCTTAGACTCACATTTTGATAACTGACTCAGAACTGGACAATTTCATAGAAGCTTACAATTTAGAATTGCAGAACAATAATCCACAGGATCTTTGCTCTGCGTGCCTAACATGGAATGGGCCTTTAATGCACATGTCAGCTGAGTTTTAGAGATGGCAAAACAACTAAGATACAATTTGCCATCATGGTATAGGCTGGGTGACAAGCATTTCCTTGCATGTCATTAATAATACAGCTGCCAGTTACTGAGCGCACGTTTCTCCAACTTTGTGTACATACTATCATTTCCTCCTCCTGGTAACTGCCATCAGGATTATTGTCAACATACAAATGAGGAAACCAGCCTGGGCCTGGCTCCATCTGTCAGATGGTGCATCCCTCGCGCTTGCCTGTCCCACCTCAGTGGCCCGGCCAGCAGTACACAGAGAGGACAGAGATCCTCTGTAAAACCAAAGAACACTGGGATTCCATTTATTTTACTGTTGAAAACAAATTGGGGAAGTTATGCAGCTTTGCATATCTCTAATCAGATCATTATTTCTAGATCCTAGAGCATAAAAAGCCAAAGATCAAAGTCCTTGCCCACCTAGCCCCATTTCACAGATGGGGAGAGTGAGGCCCAGAGAGGTGCAGCCTGCATGCACATGGCAGGTGGCCGGGACTCTCCGTTTCAGAACTGGCTGCATCATTTGTGGGACCCAGTACAAAATGAATATGTGGGGCCTCTTGTTCAAAAATTATTAAGAATTTCGAAATGGCAAGAGCTGAGCATTAAATCAAGTGCAGGGCCCCTCTAAGGTCCCACTGCCCATGAAGCCAGCCCTGGTGTGCTTAAATCACACCATTTACAGAAACAGAAGGGACAATCACCCAGACAGTGTTGGGCAGAACAGCAGATGAGAGCTTGTGGATCTGTGTGTAGCCCAATCCCTCTGTAACTCAGGGAGCCGATTAGATCTTTAAAACCCAGGAGTTTTCCTCCATGGGTGTTACCACACCACCTCCCGATTTTCCCCAAATTGCCATGGTCAACAGGCTTTCAGAGAGAGGGCAGATGGAGATATAGGAACTGACACCCACCACTTGTCTCTAAGCCAGCTCATAGAATGTTTCTCTGAACAAGACTGCCAGAAGTCTACCCTCTGCTCATACTTAATGTCCACCAGACAATAGACTTCATCATAGGCTAATAGGACTTTGCCCATTGAAGCTTAATGTTATGTGTTGGCTAATGTCTACTAGGGAGTAAATGTCCATTGACAACAAATGTTTATCAATACCTCATGTTCATTGGGGGGAGGGGGGCGGGTGTGGGCAGGGAGAGGTCAATGGGGGGAAAAGGAGACATATGCAATGTGTCAACAATAAAGAATTTAAAAAAGAATACCTCCTGTCCATCAATGACAGCTCTCATCAATGGCAGATATCCACAAAGGGAAAATGTCCAGCTGTGGCAATGTCCACTACTGCTCAATATATACCAATGCCCCATGTTCGCAGGTGGCTTATTGCAATTATGATTGCTCTGCGCATCGATACCTAATGTCAGTCCATAGCTCAACATCTGGCAACAGCAAATAGCTACCCAGTTAGTCCTATGCCTTGTGTTTACTCTTCTCTTTTATTTATTTAAGTGCCAGTAGTTGTATTTATGGGGATTGTTGTGTTTCTTGAGGTAGGCAGGAAATTCTCCCTGTGTTTACTATTTAATTCCACAAGCTATTTATATTATCTTTTACACACCCGTTAGTCAAAATATTCTGAGTTAGAGATGCCAACATACATTTCTGTTTCTTGATATATACTCATGGGTATATATAGCATGTGTATGTAATTATTATATACACAATTCAGGAAAACGGAGAAAAATAAACTGGTTTGAGGACAGAAGTGTCAACCCTGAAACAATTTTCTAAATAGATGATTCTTAGAAGCAGCAGTTTTTCCAAAGCGGAGTGATGGTTCGTGGCATCAGCCCGTCTGCTCAGGCAAAGAATTGACAAAGAGCCCTGCTTTGTGCTGAGAAAAGCCAGGCTCCCTAATTAGGTTAAGGCACACACAACACATGGGCTTCTTAAGGCAACATAACTAGTGGTTAAGACGTTGGCTCCAAAGGGAGGCTGCCTGAGCTCAAAGCCCCGAATGCTGCTTATGGCTACGTGGCCTAGGTAAGCCACTCAACCCCCGAGCCTCAGTTTCCACATCTGTAAAATGGAGATAGCAGCTCCTCTCAGAGTCGTTGTGGGGAATGTAAGTCAATGCACATAAAACACTTAGAAGAGTGCCTGCATGTAAGTGCCACATCTATACTAATACAAGCCTAGGTGGCCCTTGCACCCTCGTGTCATTACAAGATGGCCGCCCCCACGTCGTCACAAGATGGCCGGCAGGGGAGGGCAGTTGGGGGCGACCAGGCTGGCAGGGGAGGGCAGTTGGGGGCAACCAGGCTGGCAGGGGAGGACAGTTAGGGGTGACTAGGCCAGCAGGGGAGGGCAGTTGGGGGCGACCAGGCTGGCAGGGGAGGGCAGTTGGGGGCAACCAGGCTGGCAGGAGAGGGCAGTTGGGGGCCATCAGGCCAGCAGGGGAAGGCAGTTGGGGGTGATCGGGCCAGCAGGGGAAGGCAGTTGGGGGTGATCAGGCCGGCAGGAGAGCAGTTAGGCATCAATCAGGCTGGCAGGGGAGCAGTTAGGGGGTGATCAGGCTGGCAGGCAGAAGTGGTTAGGGGCAATCTGGCAGGCAGGCAGGCGAGTGGTTAGGAGACAGCAGTCCCAGATTGTGAGGGGGATGTCTGACTGCCAGTTTAGGCCTGATCCTAAACCAGCAGTCGGACATCCCCCTGAGGGGTCCCAGATTGGAGAGGGTGCAGACTGGGCTGAGGGACACCCCTCCTCTCCCCCTCCCCCAGTGCATGAATTTCATGCACTGGGCCTCTAGTAATAAATAATACAAAAACATTTTTTTTGAAAATTCTTTCTTTTGTCAAACTGACAAGCATTCTTCAGTGGCCACCAGTTCTCAGCAGGTGACTCCATCCAAGTTGTTATGCTTAGAAATGTGTCTGAAAAGAGTTTCTACCCTCCATCCAGTACATGTCACAATTGCCTCACCATTATAGCTTCCTTCTGACCCGACACTTGTAAGGACACAGTGCTTTGAAAATACCCTCATGGCCCTCTTCCACAGGCCTGGCAGCCCCAGACGGAATGGCCAGCCTGCTGTGGTCTAGATGCAGGGAAAACCTTCCACTCTCCCTGTCACTCTCGTCGACAGCCTGGCTCTGTTTGAAGTTCCACCTTTCTTCTTTGGCTCAACCTGTGGTTGTTGCCTGATGTCCTTGCTAGATAGGCAGGGGCCTAGGACATCAAGAGCGTGATTGGGGGACAGAGACAAGTGTCTGTGTGGCAGTGGGGCATTCATTCACTAACTAATGAGGAGCCTGGCCACTTTCTCCAAATGTAATAGCCCCTAAAAAAGATTTTGCCCTGGCCGGTTTGGCTCAGTGGATAGAGCATCGGCCTGCGGACTGAAAGGTCCCAGGTTCGATTCCAGTCAAGGGCACATGCCAGGGTTGCAGGCTTGATCCCCGGTAGGGGGCGTGCAGGAGGCAGCCGATCAATGATTCTCTCTCATCATTGATGTTTCTATCTCTCTCTCCCTCTCCCTTCCACGCTGAAATCAATAAAAATATATTTTTTTAAAAAGACTTGAAGGTGCTATGTTAATAGGACACTTGTTAAGAATATGAGGGCAGGGGGAGACTGTGAGACCCACAGAGAAGGTGGCTGACAGATACGATCTCTTACATAAGCTGCCTTCACCCCCACCCCGCGTGATATCCTGTTATCCTGGTGGCTCTCGGTGACCCCGCCTCCTAGCATTATCACCCTGCGCAGAACCTTCCTCTTGCGTCTGGGCTAGGCCTGTGACTTACTTTAATCAATCCCACATAATAGACGTGGCTCTGAGCCAGCTCCACACCTAAGTCTTAAGAAGGCCTGGCGGCTTTCACTTTTGCAATTGGAAGCTGCCATGTAGGAGTCTGGCAAGACCACGTGGAGAACCTGGAGTGAGGGCAGTCATGAGTAGGGCTAGTGAGAGCTGCTCACCTCAGGCTCTCGGGAGACAGAAACGCTCAACCAGCTGGCACCCAAGAGATCTCAGACCCTGAGTTGACCCACTAGCGTAATGCACGAGAGTGACCATGACAAAACCAGCAGAAGATGCAGCCAGCTGACCCCAGCCCCGACTGCAGAATCATGAGCAAATAAAACTGTCGTTGTGACTTGTATGCATGCATATAAACATAACTAATGGACATAAGACACTGGGGGGTAAGGGAGGCCAGGGGATTGTCATAAAACAAGAGCTTTAGACTACAGTTTTTGTTTCAACACAAATATCCAATACAAAAGGACACATATGTAATAC